GAAATTCAAGTAAAAAACTTTGCATACATTGCGAAAAATTCTCTGTGCCGGCTATCATAAACGATTTTATTTTCTTCGAGAAAATATCCAATTACGAGCTTGTTTACGACGATTTTGCTGGCTGGGTTCTTTGTCTAATACAAATAAGCGACGTGTTGAAAATTTCAAATTGCCATTGTTAGTCGCTGCAACAACAGCATGTCCTAGTTGGTCGAGTCAGAATTATTTCTTTTAAAGGCACACGGTTCTTCACACTTACGTGCTTTACTACCAAAACGGAAATGGTACCGACAGACCCAATTTTTAGATTGAGACTTACTACGTGACTGGGAATTTTTATTATTACTAAAATACCTCCTTCTTGATCGTGATGGTCTATCATATATTTGCGTTTTAATCTCATTAATGTCCAACTGCAAACGATTAAAACTTTCACACATTTTCGTCGTAACCTTCGCTAAATCTTCCACAATTTTCCCTAAGTCATCAAAATTATTTGAAGAAGTAAGTACTTTACTTTTAACAGCACAAATTTCACTACCACTGGTAATTTTCCAAATTTTATGTGCGAGTTGCAAGAGATCATTAATATTATTTAAATTAGCGCTGGTTAATGCAACATACAAACTTTTAGGTAGTTTCCGCAACCAAATATTTTTTAAGAAAATCGAGTCTATTGTGCTACCCGCTAACTGACTCAAGTGTCCTATAATACTCTGAAGGTCTGCGATCCCCTATCTCAGTATCTGACAAAATTTTAGTAAGTCTTCTCTGCTCGCTTAAAGAATGTCGGTCAATGAGAACTTTTTTTAAATTTTCATAAGTCTCAGTCTGAGGTGGATTTTGTATAACATCAAGTACATTCGCAATAACTTCTTGAGGCAAGGCAGTTATAACGAACTCGTACTTGGTCGAATCCCTACTAATTCCCTTTGTAGCAAATTGCATCTCGGCATGCACGAACCATGCTTCAGGACAGTTAGACCAAAATTGTGGTAATTTTACCGAAGTAGCACAAATTTCAGACCTGTCATACGGATTACGTATATTATCTTGTGACACCTCACAGGGATCTTCAATGTCAATCAGAGACCTACCAAGTCTATCCCCAGCACCTTTTTCTTGGGGAGAACGCAACATATTGGAAGAAGGTTTACAAAAATAAGCTGTTTTTTGTATTTAAAAATAAAATAAAATTGTCTAAGTGTAAATTTTAACACAACTAAACTACGTTAACATAAACTTATCTATTTAGATGTTTTGCTTGATGAAGGTTTGAATGCTGAATGTCTTGCCGTTGTTGTTGATGTTGAGTGGACAACGAATTAAAACACTTTCAGATTGCGGTTGCGACTGTAATTACGTTATGGGATGAATTCATGAGTTAACTCTTTCAACCCTTTAATTTGAGTGTTAGCTTCAATCTGAATGGCTTCGCGTACTTCGCGCCTATTTCGGCGAAGGTTGTTGTTTTTAGAAACGAGCTAATAGTCGTTTTTTGCTAGATCGAAGTAATTACATCCTTGTTTCTTTCTCCAAATTGCATTAAAAATTTACAGATCATAACCTTGCTCAGATAAAGCAATGATGCAGAATTTAACAGCTTGCACCCGACTGCATGCACACAGGACTGAACGAGTTTTGACGGTTTTTTAGTGGTAAGCAGATTATTCAGTTCAACGGACTAGTCCAGCGACAATTTGTGTTCTTCGTTACTCAAGATCGTTTGCCTGTGCTCCTTTGTTCAATGGTTTTTGTGGAAAATCTTTTACATAGCTGCTGGTTAGTTTAGGTTTCGCTTGGCAGCAAAAGCTCCTGGCAGGATCGCCAAAAACTTTGTGTTTAATAAAAATTTAATTAAATTGTTAAATTTTTTAATTTAACAAATTTTTGTATTTTATTTTTTAAAAATCAAAACCCGAATGAATGAATACAAAAATTTTCAACTCAAAATTGATCGTACATAAATAAATGTAACAAGATATTTTCATAAATCAAAGTATTTTAAGAACAAGTGTTTAACAAGTAATGTGTATCACTACAAACTACCAAACGAGGTTTCAGACAAGGGGACTCCCTTTCGTGTGATTTCTTTAATCTGATGTTGGAGAAGATAATAAGAGCCGCAGAACTGAACCGCTCAGGCGCAATACTTTATAAGAGCGTACAATTGCTGGCGTATGCCGACGACATCGATATTATCGGTAAAAACAAGGCCTTCTCGGGATTGGATAGAGAAACAAAGCGAATGGGTCTGGTGGTGAACGAGGACAAAACGAAGTATCTCCTGTCATCACACAAACAGTCAGAGCATACGCGTCTTGCACCCACGTCACTGTTGACAGTTACAAGTTTGAAAAAATAGACGACTTCGTTTATTTGGGAACCAGCATTAACACCAATAATAATGTCAGCCTTGAAATCCAACGGAGAATCACTCTTGCCAACAAGTGCTACTTTGGGCTGAGTAGGCAGTTAAGAAGTAAAGTCCTCTCTCGTCGTACAAAGATCACTCTCTATAAGTTATTCATCATGCCTGTGCTGGTGTATGGCGCGGAGGCATGGACAATGAAAGCATCTGATGAGCCGGCTCTTGGAGTTTTCGAGAAAAAGATTCTGCGAAAGATTTACGGACCTTTATGCGTTGGTGATGGCGAATATCGCAGACGATTTAACGATGAGCTGTATGAGCTTTACAACGGTATAGACATAGTGCAGCGAAATAAAATTCAGCGGCTCCGCTGGCTTGGCCATGTCGTTCGGATGGACAGAAACGCTCCTGCTCTGAAAATATTCAACGCGGGCCGCGATGCTGGTAACAGAGGAAGAGGAAGGCCTCCTCTGCGTTGGAAAGACCAGGTGAAGAAGGACTTGGCTTCACTTGGCATTTCCAATTGGCGTCAGTTAGCACAGAAGAGAAACGACTGGCGTGCTGTTTTGGACTCGGCCAAAATCGCTTAGGCGGTTACAGCGCCAATTAAGAAGAAGAAGATTAATTGATCTAATCGAGTAAAGTGTATAGTGAATGGGAATACAAAAATGGGCTGAGATTTCCATTACGGAACCAATTGCTATTCCGTGCAAAGTATAGTAAATTTTTTTATGGAACTCGGTGGGGATACTAATGGAGGTCTCCTTTAACTATATTTAACACTCGCACAATGTTGTTGCTAATAGTACTTAAGTTATTTGGTGTTAAAATATCCCGCTTGCTAACACAACATTTTATTATAACTCCACACCTATCACTTTTATTTACACAAATATATTATCCTTAAAAGATTCGCATTCGTTTGTAATACCTTAATATACAATTATTAAGTAATTAATTAAGTAAAACGCGTTTATAAATGTCTTCACAAACGTTTGCACATTTCACAAACAAGCAGAAATAACAATAGGTGTGAATTCGTATTGAGAGGACTTAGCAGCATTCGCTCTCAAAGAGACGAAATATCAACAAAAGTACGAGAACGCAAAATTTGCAAAAACTTGCAACCTTCGAAACAGCTGATCACTTGCACAGTTGCCACTGGTGATTAATTTGACAATTTATTTTCTGCTTGGGGCATTTTCCTCCGGTTTGGCATTTTATACAATTGAATAGTTTTGGATAAGAAAAACCTTTTTAAAATACGAATTAATTATATCGGAATGAATAAGTTATTTTTCTCATAATTACTTCTGATATAACATAGTGACGCATTAAAAACAAGAGTATCTCCTCCAAACACCCATCTTTGATCCAAAAAAATGTAAAAGTGTAAGTTTAAAATTATAAAATTTTCATTTCAACAATCAACCTACCAAAACCGAAAACTTCAGCAAAAGAACATTTCAGCATGCTTCATTTAAATCTATTTTGGTATATTTAAAGGAAAATTATGGTACAAACGAAAAATGTCATCCGGCAACCATAGTCAGCACGAACTAAAGTAAACAAACTGCAGATCAATAGCAAATTAACGAAAAATAAACTCTACAAACGTTGTGCTTATTAAATTTACGCACTTTTTAGTTATATACTAGCATTAATAATAAAATTTGCAATAAATAACTCAAAAAGGCCATATTCTTTTGTTTATTTACAAACATGTGTTTGTGATCAGCTGATTTTCTTACTTGGCAAGTTTTAGCTGGGAAAAACTTTTCCAGCAGAAATTTGCTGCTTTCTTTCACATTTCGCTCTCTCAATTTCCCCTACTTTGCAAGTTTTTTGGGTACGAGAACGCAAAACCAGTAAAAGTTTTCTAAAACTTTAGATAGTTGGGCGTACGAGTACACTCCTAATGGCTGACAGTAACACAAAATGTATGCTACCATAATTTAAAAAAAATACAGCACAAATAAGTGCGTATAATTAGGGGTATAAGTGTACAATACGTACATTGCTCTTATTAAAAATAATATTAGGATCGAAAGGGGTCTTACTCCTGATCATAACGGTATAATTTTTTTCGGGGGGAAATAATATTTACTGGTGTTATTATAGTTAAAAGTACACAAATGTAGAAAACGTACATCGAGCGATTTTTTATTATAAATTTTCGCCTCCGGCGCTTTTCCCATAAAAATCAATACTTCGATAAATAATGGAAATTTTTAATAAAAAATCGCGCGATGTTTTATTAAAAATTTTCGCCTGCATCGCTTTTCCCATAAAAATCAATACTTCGATAAATAACTAAGTTAACATTTTTATTACAAAATCACTCGATTTTAGACTGAATCACTTTTTTTTATCAATACATCGATATTTAATTTAAAAAAAAGTTAATTACAATGCCCGTTTTTATTGTTTCTCGTTTTCATTGCTTTTTTTTTGGGCATTTTTTGTTGTGTGGCAGCACCGACATTGTAGTACAATTGGTTTACAAAGCAAAAAGTATTGGAAAATTTTCCCCAAAAATGTATTGGTGAAGTGGCTGCTTTAAGGAAAATGGGAGTGATAAATGTACGCTAATTTCCAAATTTTACAAAAAAGGGCATATTTCTAACCCAATTTGTAAATAAATTAGTAACCAAAAATTCACAAAAGTGAGTGTTAAAATAATTCGTAGGCCCTTGACTAAGTGTGGATTTTTTTTTGAATCGGACCACCCCTTTGGACGGAATAGCCCGAAATAGTTGTGAGCGCTA